AGACAAAACCTTGTAGCAATTCCTTGTTTTAAAGTGACACTAAACTCAGATGTTAAGTTTTAAAAATACATTCAAGTATTTATTAATAGTTGAGGTCCTTGAATGTATTTTTAAGGTTTAACTCCTGAGTGTAATGTCACTTTAAGCTATCCGTCAGCTAAAGTCTTTGCCAAGACCTGGAAGTGATCATTCATCCTTTTATATTCGTTAGAATTACTTCTCTCTACATGTAATCTAGGTCAGTGACTCGGGAAGCATTGAAGGCAAAGCAGTCAGCACAAGGAGAGGTCAGCACTGGCAGCCTAAGTGTCTCTCTTGTGTACTTTAAGTGCTTCTTATTAAATGATGACTTGTCCCTGCACACTCACACATCAGGCCCATCCAGCTATCAGCTTACTGAGCTCAGCCATAGAAACAGCTCTGCAGCATCTGGACTCTTCTGTTATGTGATACAGACCGGGCTGTTTGGAAGCTGTATAAAAGGGTTATAGAACTTCTTGTGAGAAGAGATGATGTGATGTGCTGCCTGTAGCCTGCTTCTGTGTCTCTCATTCTTTCTCTTTTTCTCTCTCCTTCAAAAGAAGTGTGATCTGATGACATGGATAATATGGATTTACCCTTCAGGTTTGTACACCTTGTCAATTATTATCTCGACCAGGATTAGGCAAACCGTGCCACTGTGGTTTAACTACAAATCCCATGAGGCATTGCAAGACTGACAGCCACAGGCATGATGGGATTTGTAGGTTCACTACTGCTGCAGGGCCGGAGTTTGCCTATCCCTGATCTAGATTTTACCCGGTTCAGCTCTCATACCTGTATACCCCTAATGGACCCGTGCAGCTTTCACATTATTGCTGTGGGCCTGTTTATTCGGCAATGGCTTTAGTATTAGTTCAGGCAACAAAGTAATTCATATTGAGGGGAATTTATCAGAATCTAGAGCAGCTGTTCATGGCAACCGTTCAGCTTTAATCCAATTAGCTTTTAACGAACGTGTCCGTTTATGTCCGATTACCCCGATCCGGCACGATCAGGTCTGTTGAAACAGAACACTGTTCCATTTCTTGTTTTGGACCGGGCCAGAGTCAGGGTAACCGGTTGTAAATAGACGCTCGTCCGTTTACACACGGCTGCCCATAGACCAAGATTGAATGTCCAATCCATTCAGACTGAAAAACTGGCAAGTAGACCCGATCGGACCTCCCGTGTGAAAGGGTCCTTATGTTACTTTGTACCCGTGAGTCCTGCTTGTACACAATGTTTATAAACCAACCCTGTTCAGAAGGTCAGATTATGACACTGGCTATTATAGCTGCTGTATTACAAGGCGGGTCTCGGCTGTCATTTTGACAGCTGGGAATTGCTGGCAGGAGGTACTGGGGAGAGCAGAAGCAGGTGAGGACGGGGCATGCTTTGTACACCCTTGAAGTTTTTATTGGGCACATGTAACGTCCACAACAGGTGAGCATTTTTCTCTATGTAAACTGGGTGCTCGGTGCTGAATACATTTAGGATGTGACTTGCGGAATCTGAGTAGTGACCAATGTGTCGAGCACAGTGTCAGAATCACACCATGTGTGGGAAACCTAATTATGAAGGGGCTCCCATGAGCAGTAACTAAAACTTGCCAGTGCAGGGTATCCTCACTCCCAGGTAGGGGCACAGGTGTGCCAGGTAAACAGTCTGAATTTCCACCTATCATTGGGTTGGCATTCATTCTGATATACGGTATAAAGAAATGCCTCGGCCCCTCAGTGCACCCCCAACATATGTAGACAGATGCTGTGTGCATATTGCATTGGTCAAAAGTAGAGGGTTCTCTTAATTTTGTTTCTGGATATGGGGAGCATGTGACCTTTCCCATTCGCCTGACGAAGGTGGTGGGGAATCATCCTCAACCTGTATGACCTCCAACACAGAGCTTACTCTGTGTATCTTGCAGAGACTGTAACGGGAGCACTGCCAATGGGGGGAGGGGGGTTGGCCAGGGCAAAGCCAATCTCTTTATTTATTACTGGTATTTATAGATTGCAGACAACTTACACACCGCTTTACACACTGCACATACCCATCAGTCCCTGCCCTCAAGGAGCTCACAATCTAAGGTCCCTGTCTCGCATACATACAAGGGCCAATTTTAGACAGGAGCCAATTAATCTTCCAGCATGTCTTTGGAGTGTGGGAGGAAACCAGAGTACCCGGAGGAACCATACACTAGCACGTGGAGAACATGCAAACTCCTTGTAGATAATGTCCTGACTGGGATTCAAACCGGGGACCCCCTTTAAACCAAGTCTCAGGGGACACAGCAGCGACAATACCAGCCAGTCTGTGATGCCTCATGGTGCCACAATCCAGTAAGGAGACAGAAAGGTGGGACTGTACCACCTAAGCAAATTTTATGTTCTAATAATATGTATTTATTATTTTATATAATGTTTTTTGCATGATACATGGGACATCTTCAAAGTCCAATCAGCTCAGGTCTGACATACAGGCCTCATATTTTGGGTTAGAGGATGCGATTTCCGTCATATAAATTGTTATGTTGCGTTTGTTATATATACTTTTAGCTCCTTTAATTTGGCCCAGCTATTTTTTTTTACCACCGCCTATTTCTTAACATGAACTTCCCTGTTCTCGGTGGACACTTCCTCCTGATTCTCCTGTTCTTGTCTCAGCTGTTCATTGTGACAGAGGGAGCCATCGGCAGCTGTTATGTCGGCCCATAAACCCAGGAGGGTTCGCTGGTGGTGGTCCCTTAGCCCTTTTAAATCTTTAATCCACAAACTATTTTTTCTTGCTTCCTCTCAAGGCACAAAAACTGTGTAATGGCAGCCGGCGAGGGGAATGTTGCTGGAGCCGGCGTGATGTCAGACTCTGAGAATAACACCGCACATATGCTGGACCCGAGCCACCGGTTGTGGGAATAGATTGTGCTGAGTCAGAGCAGATTGTCTCTCGCTCATGCAGCGTTTGCTGTTTTTTTCTTTTTTCTCATTGGCATGCAAAGTGTAATTGTCTGCAGCGTTGACACAAGCCCTTAACGATGACAACCAATTTATATTTAGTAGTAGCAATGTTGGGAACTGAATACCAAAGCTCGGAGATTGGTGGACCACTTATATGGTTATGTCAAGGCCGGTGATTTAAAAAACATTGGCAGCCCGGCGGCAGTGAATTAAATGACTGCATGTCAGTTTGTAGCAGCGGCAGCTAAACTTTGTCCCTCCAGCTGCGGTGAAACTACAAAATATTATTATTATACAGCCCACATTATTATATGGCGCCCACAGTTTGCACAGCGCTTTACAATATAAGCAAGACATCACAATACAAATCAAGACAAGATGGTAAGGAGGGCTCTGCCCGTGAGGGCTTACATTCTAAGAGGGAGGGGCAAGTGATGCATGAGAAATCCCATCATGCATTGCCTCTGAGAGTCATGATGGTGGCTGTCGGAGTCTTGCAGTGCCTCATGGGACTTGTTGTTTCACAACAGCTGTAAGAACCAAAGTTTGGATACCCCTGGTCTTTTAGGTTTTTGGGCTCCTTCCCTGTGGCGGCCAACCCTCACTAGCCCTTGATCACAAGATTACTAGATCCCCTTTACTTCCTGGAACTCTGGCACATGTGACTATGCACATCATCTCAGGGGAGGAAAGTGCCTTTCCCTGAGATCTCGCAAGGTTTCCCATGCAATGCTCTGCTGGTGTAATCTTCCCAGGATGCAACACTTGGGCACATAATTACATCACTATTGCCCAAGAGGACCAGAAAGTGAGAAAAAAAAAAACAATAATTGTAAGTAAAAAAAAAATGTTTACTGAATGAATGGAAGATGATTTTGTATCAGAATGTCAACATCATGGTGACTTGAACAGGGTTTGTGGGAGGAATTTTTTTTCCCCCTTGATGTAGACCTTTCCTAACGAATGGATAGCCAAGTACATGGCCTACGTTTTGCTCGTGGTTTCTGACCGTGATGAGTTTAGTTGTGAGCGGTGGTGACTGGAGTCCTCCTTTAAAAGTAACATCACCTTGTGTCATTGCAGAGTTATAAATGGGGTTTGTATTTGCACTTTGGAGCCTCTCGCAGACTTCCCCCCTGGTCTTGGGGGGATTTTAAAAGCCAATGTTTGCTGAAATCCAGTTATTGCGCTCGTGCCTCTCAGGCATTTAATCCTTCTCATGGAAATCCATCCTCATGAATATGTTAGGAGAACAGTAGAGGAAAACCTTAATTAATACTGCGCTGAGCCGTGCTTGGTGTAAGTTCTACAAGTCGCTGAGCTAATTGGCCTATGACTGTGTCTACAGCTTCATGTCAGCCAGGTATGTATCGGATGCCGTGCGTATGATGGAGCGCAGGACGGTATCGCACATTCCACCGTGCAGAGCCTTTGCTTCGTTTGAGTGTAACATTAGGCCAGAGATATGTAAGGGTGTCTAGGTACAAATGGAATGCTCATTGGCCCAACAAGTGCTGGTTTTTCGGTATTAAGAACGAGTACCAATATTTTTTTTTTTCCGGTACTCGATACCCATACAGGAAGTCCCATTAGGAAGCCAGGAGGCATGTAATGGCTCGCTGCCGGGAAGCCGTCTCTATGCACCCTCGTCACCAGGTGTCGAGAAGCATGGAGCCGGATTTCTGGCCAATCAGGAGGCCGGGGGACGGGTAATGACTCGCTGCCCGGCTTCATGATACCGGAAGTTCCGGTATCGGGATAGGCATCGGGAGCATTTGGCCGAGTACAAATACTCGCCCAAATACTCTGTATCTGCACTGATACTAGTATCGGTGCATCCCTATTTTCTGCCTTTTCCAACTCTTGACAGCTCTCTGGATTTCTGTTGGGATTGTCAGATTTGGTAACTATAACAAAACTCTTTCAATGGCATATGCAATAGACCAAAAGAGAGCAAATATTCAAAGTTTACATACACTTTAATAGCCATAGTTAAAGCTTTTTTTCTCTCTTCTTTTAGGCCCAGGTGTCCATCAGGCATGATGTTTGGCCATGTGGCTTTGATGAAGATGTGGACTAAGATCTACTGATATGGCCATTGATGGCATCTGTCGGGACTCAGGGGAATGATGCAGAATTTCGAAGTGATTGTATTCCTAAGCTGACACGCTGCCATCTAAAGAAACCCAAACCACCCAAAAGTAGCGTGGTTACACAAGTCTTGCCTATCTGGAAACTGGAGAAGAAGAATGCTAATGTTGGCTACAACAGTCAACCGGTTCAATGTATGGTTCCCCATGCCTATTGTTTTTCTGAACCAAGTAAGAAGGCACTGTCTATACCACCGTCTCCTCCTCTGACCCCACCAAAATACCAGTTTGAAAATCTCAAGAGAACTTTGGTTTTCCAAAGGCCGCTGATTTACCAGAGACCTTACACAAGAACTGAATCTCCATCTATAAAGACAAAAGCAGAAGTTCAGAGGTCGTACTCGTCTTCGTACTTCTGTCCTCCGGTCAGGCCTTCTCTTAAGTCTATCAGATCTGCTGGGGCCATGACCTCCTCATTAATAGATAAGTTCCCCCTGCCCAGTGCAGCAGGGGAACCCACTGAGGTTGGTATCGGAAGACCTTCCAGTGTATCGGCAAAAATGTCTTCAGATGCTTCCAGGCCGCCCCTAATAACGAACTCTTTCCTACGTCCTACCAGTTCTAAAGTGCCTTTGCCTCCACAGTGGGACAGTAGAAAGAACAAAACTTCTCCAAATGTTGGAGCCAAGTCTGCTTCCTGGCATAATGGCGAGAAAGTAGACTTTGTGTTGCCTAACGGCGGGGTTCCAACGTTCACTCACAATAGTATTATCACAGGGAATGTTTCCCCCGGTATTCAGGGGGCAGCCAAAACGGAGGATGCTACGTGTCCAATACATAACATAACCAATGTTCCTTACAGAGGGGTCCAGCTCACAGAGGCTGTAAGACGGTTAGCTGGAAGGCATCTTGACAATTCTAAACCAGTTTACCAAAAGGAAGAGGCATTTATTAGCGGTGATAAAAAATCTCCACTCGCCTTCCATCCTGGCCTTCCAAATAACACTGCACCTTGCAACCCGACATCTGATGGTCATTGCCTTAATGACGACAATGGTAATCTTTGCAGTGCCAACGTCTGTGCCAAGCTAATCAACAACAATCTGAAAGCTGCAGAACGGGACTTTAATAATCTTGGTACCCTTAGTCAATCTACTGAGGCCTCTATTATAACAAGTGAACCCCAACTTCCTGTTACTGGGGAAACAGCACAGCGAGAGAACATAACTGTGATGGCCTCTCAAATATCCACCATTCATCTTAATAGGACTTGTGTGAAAGAGTCTGTTGACCAACCAAATTCTGCGGCAAGTGACCAAGAGTAAGTTGTACCGTATTTTATTTTCACCGGTTTGGGTGTAAGCCTAATATAAGATTGCACTGTCTACCTTTCTATCTCCCTAAATATACTTTGAACCACCAAACCGCCACTAAGGAGGACATTTATAAAGCAGAAGTATGGCCTTACCGGGACCATGCTGCAAAAAGCATATTAGGCACGAGGATGTGTTTTATGAATGTGATCCACTGGCTTTGGGACTCCAAAGGCTCCACATTGCGGCTTGAATTTATAAATGGGTTTTAAAATGCAGAGTGCTGTGTTGACCAACATTTCCCTATATAGCTAGCGATATCCGCCATCTGTTATAAATAGGGCCCTAAGTATATTATGACTCATGACAATGAATTGCAATGCCAAGTGTAGTTCCCTGACATCTGTAATATTATGCAAGTTTTGTCTCATTTCCCATTTTGCATTTACAGGAAATATATTTGTGTGGGTTAAAGGAGAACTATGAGATGAGTGATTTTCACTCACCTCATAGTTCTAGCCGACCTGTGACAATGAGACTGTCACAGGTCGGCTCAGTAGATCGGGAGGTGAGCGAGCGCATACCGGGTTTGCTCACCTCTTGATCCTGTCACTGCTCTCTGCCGTGACGGGAGGGGCTGGATTCCCCCCTCCCCACTCCGATCTGCCAGCGCTAACTGGCGGAACGGAAGGGGGCGGGTACAGCTGGCTCTGCCTCTAGATAGGCAGAGCCAGCTGTCACTCACGCAGCTGGGCGGATCTCGACGTCGCTGTCGGGATCCGCTGCGGCGTCTCAGTATACCGCGAGCTGTAGCTCACGGTATACTGAGCTTAGGGTAACGGGAGGACGCTAGTTTGTGTCCTCCCGTTACCCTAAGGAGAACTATGGGGAAAAGCCCTGACCCCATAGTTCTCCTTTTTAAAGCTGAACACTGGGCAGATATGAAAGATAATGCAGATCTGTGTTCATTTTTTAAATTGGTAGAAGTACCTCAATTTGACCTGCTTTCGTTCTTTTGCAATCCTCTGTGCAGCAGAGCTTAGACAGGGAAAGCGAGGAGCAGCACATGGAGACAGTCAGTTGTGCTATAGTGATCACGTGTTAACTAGGAGCGTGCCGATCGGTAGAAAGAGCAGGTCTCCTGACTTGCAAAGACAAGGATGTGCTTTGTGGCAGAACTGTGTAAATCTCACTACAGGATGACAGTTAAAATAGCTTTTATATATATATTTCATCTGTACACTTAGCTGTTTGGAGTTCAGCTTTTATTTTGCTTCTTGCACCTCTCACATGCGTTTTGTCATTCTTTTATTCTGAGCTTTGATTTGAATTGCAGCCTTCTGGTGCCAAACTGTGAACCTTACTGTGCCGAAGATGAGCTTCCTGAAGGTCTAGATGACAGCCAAGATGAAGAAGAGGATGAGGAAGGTCGGTATATGTTGATGAGATTCTACTCTATCCTAAAGCTGGCTGTACGCTGTTCTATTTATTACAACCCGAGGGGCTAAACACCAAACACAGAACAGATTTCTCCATCAGTGCTATGAGCATTGATGGAGGAATCCCCGCCATTTCCTTTATATTCTGACAGCTCTTCGGCTCCCGACTCTGTTTGCTCAATTGAGGGATGCCGGCCATTTTCTCTGGGGGGGTCCTGTTTGCTCATATTGTCTTTTTGTTTCAGATCCTGATGACTCTTCTGTTATCTCCTCCGCTACAACGATGCCAGGCTCACTCAGGTATAATGTTTTATCATTTGTCACTGTGCTTGTACTGTGTATCTAAATCCTGAAACACAAATGGAATCTTTTGCAGCTTAAAAGTGTTTGTAAACTATTCTTGTGAAAATGTGTTCCTCACCATAATGTCTTCACAGCAGTTGCACTCCTTTAAAATGACACTAAACTCAGGAGTTAAATCTTAAAAATACACACAAGTACCTTTTACTATGAACAACAATGTATCTTGTTTGTGTATCACTCGGCTGTAGAGCCTCCAATCATCTCTGAATTGGCGCTGACACTGTCCTCCTTTCTGGAGGGGGGCTACTTTTGTTCCCCATGGTCCCTGTGTGTGTTTGTAAAGTAGTCACCGCTCCAAGCTTGCTCCCGGGATGGACTACAATCTCATGTTTAGTTTACTAATTTGTATTGAGATTGTAGTCCATCCCGGGAGCGAGCTTGGAGCGGTGACTACTTTACAACACACACACAGGGACCATGGGGAATAAAAGTAGCCCCCTCCAGAAAGGACAGTGTCGGCACCAATTCAGAGATGATTGGAGGATCTACAGCCGAGTGATACACAAATAAGATACATTGCTGTTAATAGTTGAGGTACCTGAGTGCATTTTTAAAGCTTAACTCCCGAGTTCAGTGTCACTTTAAAACCTCACTGTTGCTCATACTTGGCATCCAACCTCTGTGCGGCTTTTACCTTCCTTTTTTGCTAGGTGACACCAGTTTCTAAGCATGCACATTGTTGTCACTAGGCATTACACGTTCCTACCACAAGCCAACCTTATAGTGCACGCTAGATCAAAGCTTCTCCCGCTTATAGTATTGAACCATCAAACTTTTTTCAACAACGAATTCAGATCAAACAAATATACATTGCTCAGTATTCCTTTTTTTCCCCCACCTGGTGATCCTGCAGGTTTTACACACATCCTGTCCTAGGGTGACAACATTCACTCACTGTAGTGTATCTGTGGAATTACATGGGGGGTCAGGGGTCTGTAGTCCACAAAAGCTAACTTGGAACAGTATTTGTCAGTTCAGTTCAGTTCAGTGCACATTGAGATACACGAATGCTAGATTTCTAGCAGGTTGAACATGTTTTTTTTTTGTACTTGCAAAAAATTCCACCTTGTGATTGGGACAGTCGTGTTTTTTTGAAGGCTATGCATTTTAAGCCTTGTCTGAACTTATTTATTCCTTACAGTTTTGATGATATGGGGCTGGTCTCTTAAAACAATTTAAACGCAGGTCTTTATTTCTAGGCAGTGCACTGATCATATGGATCCAGCACCTGAAAATGGGGACTTTGTTCTGAAGCCCGCTCTGACCCCTTGTCTGTTCCCCAACATTCCTCCGACGCTTTACTTTGGCACTCGGGATGAGAAAGGTAAGATTGGCACATGTTGCTTTCACATTGAGATGCCCCACCACCACTGTATTGAGTTCATAATTCATGCAAAATGAATAGAAAACATTGCTCAATGGTACTTTTCTAGCAAAATTACACAATTTGGAACACATTTATCAACAAAAGTATGTTGGTATTTACTGATGGCTCCTTCACACCAGCCTTTGTTGAGCTGAGTTTGGCAGCGTTGCCCCACGCAAAGACCTGTCAAAAGGCTTTGCTTTGTATTGGTCCTATTCACTCCACCATGCTGCATTGGTGTGCATTGCAGTAAAATGATGCGGGCATAAATTTTACCTATGTGCTGTGTGTTGTTGTAACGCGCTTCAGTGCATAGTTGAATGAAGTGTAAATAAAGTTTTTAAAAAATTAGCACTTCAATGTGCTGTAACATCGCAGCTCTTGCCCACATCACACACCAGGGCAGGTTATGCGCACCATGACGCACACCCACTGGTGTGAACAGGGCCTGATGATCACAATGTGTATTTGATGCACACTATGTCTTCCTATGTTGTCCTAATGACTCCTTGCACTCTGACGTTTAATCTAGAAGCATTGACAGGATGTGAGCATCTGTTATATCCGTTCACTTTCAGGGTTCCACTAATGTCTGGTGGTGATGCAATACTTGGGCTGCAGTCTTCGGTTGTAGACTCAAGTCTTTAGATACCCTATTTAATCTCTTGTTTGGGCATGCGTTACACCTGTCTGGTTGCGTAAGGTTTCGGTCAAGTCTGCATTATAAAATTATCTCTAGAGAGATAAGTGTGTACGTTTTTATATAGACTTTATTATTGCCAGACCAAAACATTTTAAAATTATTCCATTTTTGTAGTTGACCAAGTATGAAATATATTTTTTCCTACAATGTATCTAAACCTAAAAACCAAAACCTAAAGTGGTACTATACTCCCCTATAGCAATGGGGTTTTCCACAACCTCCCTTTTGACGTTCCGACATTTTAGCCCTGTCTTCCAGGTTTGGGATTGGCTGTGCCTGGATAATGTAAATTTCACACATGGGTACCTCAATGATTGTACATAAAAGAATGAGAACAGGAAGGAAATCATTCTTGCAGAAGAGACACATGTCTCCTCTGCATCAAAAAATCCTGCCTGTTTCCACATTTTTACAGTGGAAACTCAGGAGTTAAATCCTAAAAATACATTCAAGTCCCTTAACTATGAACAACAATGTATCTACAGCCGAGTGATACACAAATAAGATACATTTCTGTTAATAGTTAAGGGACTTGGATGCTTTTTTAAGCTTTACCGTATCTCCTGAGTTTAGTGTCATTTTAATTCCTAGGTAAAGTTTAATTCTAATATATTGCAGGTTACCAATCCTTACGTGTGGTGGCTGCTTTTTGTTTTTCTTTTTTCTTTCAGGCTTTTATACTTTATTTTCACCTGGTGATCTGGCTAGTAGCAAACTTCCTGTACTAGGGTGACTACGCTCACCATATTGTATCGGGACCACAAAATGTTTAAACAAAAGTTATCAGATAACAGAAGTTTACTGTTGGGGGTTTGCATGCCCTTTAGGAAGTCACTATAATCCTGCTTATTGCTTTGTCTCTGTAGTGGAACTGCTGCCTTGGGCACAGAGGAAGCTGCTGAAATGGAAAATGAGCACGGTGACGCCAAATATAGTGAAACAAGCTGTGGCGCGATCCCACTTCCGTGTTACCAAAAGTGAGTACCTGTCTTGATATCTGTATTTATAAACTGGTGTCCATCAAAACCCATCAGTACCCATAGAAGAAATACTGGGGTATTTTTATCAGATCTGGAGCGGTTGCTCAAGTAACCAATCGGCTTCTCTCTTCAGCTTGTTCAGTTAAGCTTTGAAAAGGTTGTCATGCACAGCTGCGTGAGGTTTTGTCTGCTGTAGTTTTGATAAATTCCCCTCACCTTCCTGGAATTAGAAGTCTTATCCTAGACCTGTGGCTATTGCCATACTGATATCCGCCTTTATTTTGTGCTCAGTTCTTTATCATCTTTCTGTAGAGAGCCATGACTGGTTGGGTTGTTGGGGCCATCACATGAAGTCTATGGCCTTCAAGAGCATCCGGGAATACCAGAAGGTAATGTCCTTTTATAATGATGGTTAAACAAAGATACAAAAAAGATGTGTGGGGGTTGTAACCTTTATCAATCGGCTATTCACTTTTTCATTTTTTTGTGAAGCTGCAAAAGATCCTTGGGTTCTACTAAATGTGTAAACTAGCAATACTGGTAGGGGCAGCACATTTCTGTGCCTGCGAGTACCCATTTTCATCTTCTAATCAACTCTCGTGTTACTGGTAGTTACCTCGGGGCCAGGTTCACACCATTTTCTGGACCAGATCTGGATCATTGCTTTTTACCACGTTCCGTATCGGGTTTTATCGTTTTGTTTTAGATTAAATGGGTTTCCATGCGTTCCAGTCCAGAGAAAATGAGACGAGCAGTATTTTTGTTTTTTTTCTCTGGTCCGGAACGCACTGTGCTGGTGTGAACAGAGCCCAGAAATACTATAGGGATACATTGGGATATTTTTTGGTCCGGGAACAAACTGTTCTGGTCTGGGCATGATCCAGACATGGTGTGAACAAGACCTGAAGCCTAAGCTATACCTGGCACTGGACTTCACCACTTGAGTTAGTAAATGCTCCAGAA